GGGGGGAGGCGGTCCCAGGGTCAGAGTCCGCTCCCCTCCCGGGGCCCTGGGTGGTGGGGAGGTGAGTCCCAGCCCCGCTCCCCTTTATCCTGCAGCCCCGGCCCGGCCTTACCGTCATAGTAATAGCAGACCTTCTTCTTGCCGCCGCCCTGGGCCAGCGCCATTTTACCCGCGGCCTCCTGCAGCAGCGCAACCAACCCTGCTGCCACCCCTGCGCTGCGTCACCATGAACGACAGCGACCTGGACCAACCACAGAGCGGCATGTGGGAGGGCGGGTCCTAAAACTCTGTGACGTCTACGGACAGCGTCCAATGGAAGTTACGGCGCGCGGGACCGGCTGGGCCAGCAGGTTTGGTTGGGCGGGACGGGCTGTTTCCCCCTGGCGGCTGGGTCTCGCCATTACATCCATTTTGGGGGAGGGGTTGCCCTTTACAAAAGGGTTTGCAACAAAAACTAAAGCAATAATAAAAAGAATTAAATTGGCCTTGGTGGACACACACTCAAACTGCCCCATTATTTTATACACTTTCAGATTTGATCACTCTCTGCCTGACGTGGTGCAATCAAGAATGTGTGCTTGCAGTGTGGGAGGTCATGGCTTCATTCCCCAATCCAGGATGAGCACATTAGTACAAAGAGGATAGAGGGAGATAGATGCCTATTAATCAACACAAAGGATAAGAATAAAACATAGAAAGTGATTGATGCCAAAATATTATGTGTTTTCAAGAGGAAGGTAGATAGAGCTTGAATGGCTAAAGGGCTCAAGGATATGGATGGAGGAACGTGTTTAGTGTATTGAGCTCAATGATCAGCCATGATCGCATCGAATGGTGGGGGAGGTTCATGGGGCCTACTTGTGTTCCTATCCTCTATGTGTCTATGATAGTGAATTCCACAGGCTCGCTGTATGAGTGCAGAAGTTTCTCCTCATCTAATGTAAAAAGCTGAGACTACAAAATGGCCATCTTCTAGTTGCAGCTAAAGGGACTGGAAAAGCTGTTTAATAAACTCTTCCACACTCCTCCGTGACAGTTTGTCTGCTAGCTCTCTGCAAAACCAATTCTGCTTGTCCCACAATCACTCCTGCATTATGAGCAATTAGTTCCCCTTCTTTAAGGGGATCTGAAATAGAAGAGAGCATGTGATCAGCTACTAACCAGGTTACTAACCAAAAGGCATCAAGGGTACAGGGAGAAATGGAATTTGGCATTAAGGTTGAGCATCAGCCACGATCACATTGAATGGTTCTTATTTCTATGTTTCATAGAAAGGCCCTTCGGCCCACAATGTTGTGCCGACCTATTATCCTACTAAGATGAATCTACCCTGCATACCCTACATTTTACTATCCTCCATGTGCCTATCCAAGAGTCACTTAAAAGTCTCTAAAGTATCTGACCCCACTACCACAGACGGCAGTGCATTCCACACGCCTACCACTCTCTATGTGAAGAACCTATCTCTGACATCTCCCCTATAGCTTCCTCCAATAACCTTAAAATTATGCCCCCTCGTAATAGTCATTTCTGCCCTGGGAATAAGTCTATTACTATCCACTCTATCTATGCCTCTCATCATCTAGTAAACTTCTATCAAGTCACCTCTCATTCTTCTTCACTCCAATGAATATAGCCCTAGCTCCCTCAACCTTTCCTCATAAGACCTGCCCTCCAGTCCAGGCAGCATCCTAGTATATCTCCTCTGCACCCTCTCTAAAGCTTCCACATCTTTCCTTTAATGAGGTGACCAGAACTGAACACAATATTCCAAAAAGCATATTGAATTAAAAATAAATCAATGAAACTAAATGGAAAAAAGAAATCACAAAACTTAAATTGGAGTTGATTATGTACATGAGAGGGAGGTAGACAAAAGAAAATTGGAAATGTGAGGAAATTTACACCAAAGCATTGGATTAGCAGCACGGGCACAACTGGCCAAATAATCAACTTAATTTTTGTTATTAATATAATGTGATGGAAGGCATGTAATTTATATATATTTTAAGATCATTTATTTTAGATTTTGGATTTTGAACTTGTGGTATGTGGGTTTTGATCTTTCTGTAAGGAGTTTAATGATTAACATGTCAGTGCTTTCAGAGCCAGTAATTTTAAAAAAAAGCATTGGAGAGAAAGTTTTTTGTATTGGGAAAATTTTCTAAAGAAAAGAGTAAACATTTAGGAATACTAGCTTGCTTTCAGTTTTAGAACATAGAACTGTACAGCACAGTACCGGACCTTCGGCCCACGATGTTGTGCCGAGCTTTTACCTCAACCTAAGGTCTATCTAACATCCACCCTTATCTTATACTATCATCCATATGCCTATCTAATAGCCGCTTAAATGTCCCTAATGAGGTCGACTCCACTACCCTCACCAGCAATGCATTCCACGCCCCTACCACTCTCTGAGTAAAGAACTTACCTCTGATATCTCCCCTATATCTACCTCCACTCACTTAAAACTATGCTCCCTCATAATCGCTACCTCCACCCTAGGAAAAAGCCTTTGGCTGTCCACTCTATCTATACCTCTGATCATTTTGTACAGTTCTATCAAGTCACCTCTCATCCTTCATCATTCTAAAGAGAAAAGCCCGAGCTCTCTCAACCTTTCCTCGTAAGACCTTCCCTCCATTCCAGGCAACATCCTGGTAAATCTCCTCTGCACCTTTCCCAACGCTTCCACATCTTTCCTGAAATGAGGCGACCAGAATTGCACACAATACTCCAGATGTGGCCGAACCAGGATTTTGTATAGCTGGAGCATAACTTCACGGCTCTTGAACTCAATCCCTCTATTAATGAAAGATAACACACCATACGC